TTTTTTTTTTTTTTTTTTTTTTTTTTTTTTTTTTTTTTTTTTTTTTTTTTTTTTTTTTTTTTTTTTTTTTTAACAGGACGATGGTCTTGAGATGTCATCTCATCAAGTTCACCTGTCCCAGGTCTTTCGGAATTATTTCATTCAAATTCGTTGCATTCATCATCCAACGTCCATAAGGATTTGAACTTGGGTCTGCAATTCAAATTCAACGGTTCGTGGTTGTACCGACTGAGCTAGCCTTATGTCAAAGTTCACACATGGAGTCCAGCAGCCATAAGGAGGAGTGGAGCTTGGATCCGAAGCGTCAAAGTGAACACACAAGATTTTTCTGGCCGTCGATCGGGAACGATCTAACAGTGGACGCCAGGTTCCGGAAGCTCCAGGCCTCATGGAGTCCATCAAGGAACTGGGACAAATTGCATCTGGGCCGTCGACATCTGGACGATCCGGGCATTATTGCGACTGAGGCTGGCAGTCGGACAGATCGACAGAAAGACAGACAGACAAGCAGACAGACAGAGTGGCAGACAGACTGTCAGACAGACAGAAAGACAGACCAGCAGACAGACAGAAAGACAGACAGGGAGGAAGACGGACAGATGGAGGCAACTTACAAAAGAATAGATGATGCTTGAGCGATTGAGATTTTTAAGATAGACACCACAACTGAAGGGTTGTACCCCAATCCAGTCCAGCGGGCCCAAAAACCCACTCAAACAGGCCTGTTCCGCTCCCGGTCCCACCCAGCTGTCCACCTTAGACTGGAAAGAAGTGAAATCGTCCACACAGTTGGCAAAGCTCCTGTGGTCGATCTCACGTTGCAAATCCCTGGCAGCCTTGCCGGCAGCTTCCTCAAAGGAATTCTCCCATCCGAGATCCCAACCGTCGTAATCCTGTTGTTCTTCGGTCGTCCGATCGCAGAGCCGCGGATCGGAGACGTTGGGACCGGGCCATCCCCAACCGGGATCCAGTGCGTCCACAGCCTCTTGGATAGAAGCCTTGGTTTCAGAGAGCGTGGTGCAGGGCCTGCACAACGCCCCGCTTAAGTAACCTTTTGACGCGATCGAAAATATCGGCACCCCCCATCGCTGTAACGGCAAAACCACAGGCCGGGTGGTGACTCGGCAAAACGGGAGGGCAGCTTCGCTGACATGTATGCGTTTCCGTTTCAGCTGCGCGCGGAGCGCCCTCTGCGGGTTCAACCGGGCATACCGGTTCTCAAAAAGATGATGCAGAACACTCACGCGGGCCAACGCGGCATGGCTGGCTGCCGAGCTGCCAAAGCCGAACTCCGCGTTATGTCCGCCATACCGACTGCCGAGCGGAACTGTGTACACTGCCGCGTTGGTCTTCGCTGTGGGAATCTCGAGCGGCTGGATTTCGCTGGACCAGAAGCTGTCCAGCCTGGACCAGATGACCTCCTTGTACACCTCACCAACCTCCTCTTCCCGACGGCGAATGATCCATGAACATCCCTCAATGATACTGAGATCGGAAAGCGCAGCTTCCAGAAGCAACCCCCTTCCAACCGAAAGCACGCGTCCAGCCATCCCCAAGAATTCCTGTGAGAAGATGACCCTCTGCACTATTCTAATTCCAACAAACCCGCGACTGCTGTTCCTTCCTCCTCCTCCTCCTCCTCCTCCTCCTCCGCCTACTCCTACTCCTATTCCTGCTCCTCCTCCTCCTACTACTCCTTCTCCTAGTCCTACTCCTTCGTTGCCCTCCAGCAGGGATCTCAGCACAGTAATTTTGTGTGTGTCACAGTTAAACGGCAAGTTGAGGAACACGTCAACATTGGGTTGGTAGGGGACCACCAGATTCCGAAGTATCGAAAGGCCGGTAAGATCGAGGAACTCCGCGCTTCCGGAGAGACACAGCGCCGTCCTCGCAAGGGCGCGTGTGGCACGAGGGACGCTCTCCGTTTCCGCATTTCCATCGCCTTGATGAGAGGGATCCAAATTCACACTGCTGCTGTCAGTAGATGCCAGATCTGTTGTTACGCGCATGGTGCTTGGACCAACCGTCGATTCATCAGAAGAGAGGACTGCAGCAGCGGCATCACTCGCCCATGATCCCTGCTGCAGCACAACCCGCCGCCTTTCGACAGAGCGCACCTGGTCGTCATCGGTCGCCCCGTTGTCATTTGTCGTGCCAACAGCATCAACCACAGCCTTGCCCTCCCTGGTCACGTCCTGGTACAACTTTCCTCCCTCTCCTCCTCTTCCTCCTCCTCGTCGCCCTACTCCTCCGCGAACAGTGCCAACGCCACCATAGCCGCTTCCCTCTTCGATCGCCTTCAGTCCACCACCACCGCCGAAGTCCACGGTACGTTCATCTTCGCTCCACCTCTCCGCCGCCGGAGACACATATAACTTAAACCCCGCAAATGTAGAAGCAAGCAGCACAGCTAGGATAAGAAAGAGGAGACGGAGTAACGGAGACCGGGAGAACACACCCCGCCTCTGCCGGCTGCCGGGGATAGAACACGCTGTAAGAAAGCCCCCAGCTTGAACATGCTGGGGATGTGCGAGTTGTCCCCCCCCACTGTCATTCTGGGAGACCCCCATGGCTGCAGATATCTCCCAACCATCAGCCTGCCTGCAGCCTCCAGACTCAACATTGGCTGGCCTGAACAGTCCAGCCTGCCAGCCAAACTTACGTCAGCCAGCCTGCAGCCTGCAGTTTGCCACAAATTTACCACAGTTAAATTTAGTTACCACAAAGATTTACTGCTAGAAAAGAACCCTCCCCCCCCACCTCCCCTCCCTTGTCATTCTGGGACACTCCCCCATGGCAGAAAGATATTTCCCAACCATCGTCAGCCTGCCTGCAGTCTTCTCGAACAGAATCAACCTTAGCTCGCCTGAAAAACACATAATAGAAAATAGAGTCCATCTGGTACACCCCCCCTGACCTGTTGAAATACAGACCCAGAAACAATCATAGGTCCAGGGGGGGTGTACCACATGGACTTTATTTTTTCCTGTTCGAATCCATAAACAATTAGATGCCCCAGCAATCAAACAGCATCATACATATGAGCCCAGATAGTCTTGACCTCGAACCACAGCAGACACGAGATACACCAAATAAGAACACACCAAGAGTTCAAAATTGACAATGCTGAAGTAGTCCCATCATCATCAACTACGAACCAGAGTTGATATCCTWTTGGCGCTCGRCGCCCARACTACATGTGGCAGGTCCTATCTAGCCTATACTACGAAGCAGAATGATGACATCAACAGCGTTCCCGAAGTACGAGCATATGGCGACCAATGTCGCAC